TTAGCATATTCGCCTTTCGGATTTCATCAGCTTCGAAGGCGGCTTCAAAGCCCCCGAGATCGCCTCAAGACGCCCCAAAAGGCCCCCAAGAAAGCTTCAAGACGGCCGAGCCAGGCCCCACGATCGCCAACGAGAGCCCCAAGACAGCCCATAATGGAACCAAGAGGCCAACCAAGGGCTCCCAGCACAGACCCAAAAGGGCCATGGGCGGTCCCCGGAAGTGTCCAAGATGGGTCCAAAAGGGGGCTCCAGCGGGCCCAAGCTCCCCAAGACGGCCCAAGAAGGCCCCAGGACGGCCCATGAAAGCGCCAAAACGGCCCACGAGGGCCCCGACCCCCCCCCACGATGTTTCCGAATGCCAACATAAAGAACCCCAAGGCACCCCAAAAAGCTTTCCAAGTGGCTTCAAAACGCAAACATCGTCCCATTCCCTTTGTAAAACGTACAATCTTAGCATATTCGCCTTTCGGATTTCATCAGCTTCGAAGGCGGCTTCAAAGCCCCCGAGATCGCCTCAAGACGCCCCAAGAGGCCCCCAAGAAAGCTTCAAGACGGCCGAGCCGGGCCCCATGATCGCCCACGAGAGCCCCTAGACAGCCCATAATGGAACCAAGAGGCCCCCCAAGGGCTCACAGCACAGACCCAAAAGGGCCATGGGAGGTCCCCGGAAGTGCCCAAGATGGGTCCAAAGGGGGCTCCAGCGGGCCCAAGCTCCCTAAGACGGCCCAAGAAGGCCCCAGGACGGCCCATGAAGGCGCCAAAACGGCCCACGAGGGCCCCGAAAACACCCCAACGATGTTTCCGAATGCCAACATTCATTGATTTTGATCCCATGACATTTCACATTGTGACCCAGTCGTTGAGGGTCTCGTGGCATGCAGCGAAGATGCCCGAGGATGCCCCGTACGAGTTGTATATGCATGCTCATACCCTTACACACACAAATTTATGTGTACATATGTACGCTGTATACACACATGCAACAATGTAAGTATATTGTATACGCCTAGACATGTATACGGAACGTGCATGCACGTGCGCGTGTATACATGCATGCGCGCATGTACGCACGCACGCATTTCGCTTGCGTGCAGAACTCAAAGGACCAAGGTGCATGGCGCGTAGGGCCAATGCAGTCTTGTATATATATATATATATATATGTATGTATTCGGGGTTCTCCGTTATCCCCATGCTGGGTCTGCAGGTGTGGACGAGTGGACATAATGGTGCGAGGCCACGAGAGACACGCGCATTATGTGGGAGCGTGGGAAGGCCAGAAACATGAGGAGGCGCGCGCGGTGGAAAACGTGGACAGCACACATTGATGACTGCTGCAGCTAAGCTTAACAGATCATTGCCGAATGTCGGCGGCGTGCCCACGGGGGAATACGGTGGGGGCGGGCCTTCTCACAAGGCTGGTGAAGCCTCCGGCCTTCTGAGACGCTGCGTGATCTTGCCTTGAAGCCGCTGAAGGCTTCCCAGAAGGATGGGTGACTTCTCAGAAACCCCGCCGCCTTCTGAGAAGGCCTGCCTTCCCTCACTTCCCCCCTCGGCGCGCCACCGACAATAATCAGCGCGCCGTGCAACCGGACCTTCACTCGCAAGGGGCGGATATGCGAACACACCGTATCAGTAAGAGCTGCGAACTAAATGAATCAGACGTGCGGGCAAGAATCGCGCACTTCCTGGGCGTTACAATGAGTGGTATAGGAAGGAAAAATTCAAGCATTGGTGCCGTCTGGAAGATAACACGAACAAGCAGGCTCAATCTAGTCCGTTATGACGAAGATCGGCACGTCGTTCCCAGGGTGACATCGCACCAGGAGGTCAACTGGTGGCTGCAACTTCGGGGCGGTGTTTCATGTCTGCCCTTCCCCGTGAGACGTTCGGATCTAGAACTCACGAACACACGAACACACCAACACACAAGCACACAAATACACAAACACACAAACACACGAACACACCAATGCACCAACCCACCAACACACCAACACACCAAACCACCAACACACAACCTCACAAACACGCAAAGACGCAAACACACAAACACACTTCAACACAAACACACACACAAACACACGAACACACGAACACACCAATGCACCAACACACCAACACACAAACATACAAAAACACGAGTACACAAACACACAAACACAAACACACAGACACAAGCACACACACAACAACACACAAGGCCACAAACACATAAACACACGCACAAACACACTGACACACAAGCAAACACCCAACCACACACAAAAACACAAACAAACGCACACAAACACACACACACGCACACACGCACACACACACGCACACACACACGCACACACACGTCCACACACAACACACTACACGCACTTTCAAACATGCACACATCCACACACACACACACGCTCCGCACACGCACGCACGCACGCACACACACACCCATACACACATACACACCATACACACACACACTTCACATCATAGGACCACACAGACACGCACACATACACACACCCTCACACACAGACGCAGACACAGACACTGATACCGATACAGGCACCGGCACGCACAGATACACACGAACAAACACGCACAGACACACACACAGACACACACCATCACACATACACACAACCACATTCACACACGCTCACACAAGGACACACACACAGACACACACACAGACACACACACACACACCACACACACACACGCAACTGCACACGCACAGGCACACGCACGCACTAATTCACAAACGCACACAAGCACACACACACGCGCTTGTGCTTGTGCTGTTTCTTGTGCTTGTGCTTGTGCGTGTGTGCGTGTGTGCGTGTGTGTGTGCGTGTGTGTGTGTGTGTGTGTGTGTGTGTGTGTGTGTGCGTGCGTGCGTGCGTGCGTGCGTGCGTGCGTGCACGTGTGTGCGTGTGTCAGAGAGAATGTGTGTGTGTGTGCGCGCTTGTGTGCGCGCTTGTGTGTGTAAGCGCAATCACAAGCACCAACACGAACACGAACACAAACACGAACACAAACACAATCGCAATCACACGCACAAGCACAAACACAAGCACACGCACAAGCACAAACACATGCAAAACGCACAAGCTGATGGACAAGCTAACTCATACGCATAAGCACACGCACAGGCACCACCGCCACACACAGACACAAGCACACACAACAAGCACAACCACAACCACAAGCACAAACACAACTACAAACACAAACACAACCACCAACACAAACCCAAATGCAACCACAATCACAAACACACACACACACGAACGTACACACGCAAACACAAACACAAACACAAACACGAACAGACACACAGGCAGACAGACAGAAAGTCAGTCAACCAGACACACACACACAACTGCTGCTGAGGTTCCACACCTGCGAGCCAAAGGTGTCACGACAGGCTCGACTCTTCCCTCCTGTCGCTCGCAATGGGACAGCACAACACCAGCGCAGAGGATCCCCAGCTCAAGTTCACTGCTTTCGGCATCGGTTGCCTCGTCGCGGGGAGTATGGAGAACACAGTGCACCAGGACAAGGATGAGTTGCAACGGGGGATGATGGAGGATTGTTGTTACTCGAGAAACAGCGTCCTGCGGACAGTCCAATGTACAGGAACCACAAGAAAACCAACAATGCAGAGGTCGCGTACTTCAGCCCGCCTGGTCCACCAAGCTCTGCCCCTGAGTAGGGGGGGAGGGACACAAGGGTTAGGCCGGGTCTGCCCCCCCCCCCCCTACAGGGGGATTTCCGACGAAAAATAAAAATAGCCGAAACATACTTCAACATTGGCAGAAAAAAGTACTCCAACAATAATACCCGTATTATTCTTTGACTATTTTTGAATATCCCTCCTGTGGAGGGAGAGGCCCGACTTAATACAAGGGACAGGCGTATGCACTCCACCCCGTCTGGTCCTCTGAGCTGCGCCCCCTCGCCCCTCCGCCTGCGGCCACCCAGCCGCAAATGGCCCTGCCCACAGCAGCGAGGCGAGCACCTCCTCCTCCTCCTCCTCCTCCTCCTC